TCGGCTCACTGCAACCTCCGCCTTCCAGGTCCAGGTGATTCTCCTGCCTCAGCCTCCTGAATAGCTGGGATTACAGGCGGCTACCACCACGCCCGGCTAAGTTTTGGTATTTTTAGTAGAGATAGGGTTTCACTATGTTGGCCAGGCTGGTCTTGACCTCCTGATCTTAGGTGTTCCACCCGTCCTGGCCTCCCAAAGCGCTGGGATTACAGAGGTGAGCCACCGTCCCTGGCTGAGAATATTTTTTAACCATTGGGTGCTAGTTCCTTTTAGACACTGTGTAGAAATGGGCAATGTTTTGACCAAATCTTCCCTGGAACCACGTGGGAACTGAGGTGTGTCTCCATCACAGGGAATGTCTCTGATTTTGCTAAGTAGCCATATCAGGGAGATGGCAGACGTCTGGAAGAAACTTGAAGCATTTGGACAAAGTTAAGTTCCAAAAATGCTGAGGAAGTTTTGGAGGTGGCCATGTGGAGAGGAGTTTATATAACATAGTCTCATAAGGCTGCAAATAGATTTAAAAGGAAGCACAGCTCAGAGCCACCTGCTTGGAATAAACTATTTCAGGGCAATTCCCAGAATCTTACAGTATCCACTGTGGACTGAATTGTGTCTTCCCCTAAATTCACATGTTGAAACCCTAACTCATTGTGAGTGTAATAAGAGATAGGGCTTTCCGGAGGTAATTAAGGTTAAATGAGGTCATCAGGGTGGGGTCCTAACCTAAGAGGATTGGTGGCCTTATGAGAAGAGGAGAGCGAGCACTTCCTCCTGAGCAACCTCAGGAAGATTAGCAAAGGCTTGTGAGTGCAAGTGAACGGTGCTGGTGAGTCCAGAGCACACTGAGGAGAGGCTGTGTGAGGACACAGTGGGCAGGCAGCATCTGCAAGCCGGAAAGAACTCTCCCAGGAATCGAATTTGCCGACACCTTGATCTTGGACCTCCTGGCCTCCGGGACTCTGAGAAAATAAAGTTCTTTTGTTTAAGCCACCCAGTCTAGAGTACTTTGTTATGGTAGCCTTAGCAGACTACCCTGATAGGGCCCTGATTTGAAAGAATCTTAGAAGTCATCCCACCCAACTATTTTATTTTATGAATGTGCTTCCGGACTCAAGACTGGAAGCAAGAACTGGTCGGAAGACAAGAAAAAACGCACAATTTGTCCCCTACTTGTAGGTGAACCTACGTGTGCAGAGTTGGAACCCAATGTTCCTTTAGAGTAAAAATAGGTTTTGCACTTGGAAAGACTGAGCACGGTTTAGAGGCCTTAAACACCCCCTACCAGGGATAAGACACTCTGCTAATTGCTAAGACACTGAGAGGTAGAAGATCTCTGCTGTTTGTTAAATGACTCACCAACTATTCAGGCAACAGGTATTTCCTGAGCACCTATTATGTATCAAGCACCGAACTTGATTCCAGGGATGTAGAAAGAGTTTACTGTCCAGGAAAGGAGACAGGTATATAGATGGATGACTAATACAGTGCCATAAGTACTAGATTCAAATATGTCATATAATATGCTATCTAGGACCAGGAGCTCCAGAGTAACCGTAGGAAGATTAGAAAAGGCTTGTGGACAAAGATGGGCAGATAGTGGTTCTGGTAGATTCCAGAGCACATTCCAGGAGAAAAATGTGCACTCCCACTGCCTTGTTCTCCAACAGCATCATCTCTTTCATACCTGGATTACTAACTGCAACATCACCTTACTATCACCTATACCTGCTAGTATCTCTGGCTAATATATTTGCCACAAAGGAGTCATGATCTTTTTAGGCCATGAATCTGGATCATTATCACTTCCCCTGCCTAAAATTGTTCAGAGGTATCTCATGCTGTTAGGATATTTAGTAGCATGCAATAATGAAGATGATTAAAATATCAAATGTACATAGTCCTACTTACGTACCTGGTGTTCATCGATATGCTTTACATATACACTTGGTTCTCATTATTTGTGGAGTCTATATTAGTGAATTCACTGACTTACTAACATTAATTTCAATGCTCATGGTGCTTATGTGGCTGTTCCTGGGTATGTGCAGAATGGCAAAATATTTTGAGTCATTAGACGCTTATGTTTCTAGCTGAGCTCAAATAAGATGGCACTGTGCTATACTGTAAATGGGTGTCTTCTCATGGCCCCATTGTTTGCATTTTGTGTTTTTTGTTGGTGATGTCACTGTTAAAAATGGCCCCAGGCATAGTGCTGATGTGTTGTCTAGTGGTCCTAGGTGCAAGAACACTGTGATATGTCTTACAGAGAAAACGTGTGTGTTAGACAAGCTTTGTTCAGAAATGAGTCATAGTGCTGTTAGCCCTGAGTTCAATGTTAATGAATTAACAATACATATGCAAATAAAGTGCTTTAACAACTGAAACACACATAAAACAAGGTTATATATTGATCGGTTGATGAAAATATTGTGACCAGAGGCTTGTAGGAACCTAACCCCATATTTCCCTTGAGAGCAATGGTGCAGTGTTCACTAACTCCTTGTTTGAAGTGACTTTAGAGAACATAACTCCAGTGAATTATGATTATCGACTGCAGTAACTCACTTAAAATTAATAAGAAACTTATACAATAATAGATGAAGTCTTTTCTATCACATACACAGCTTTCTGGTGCATTGTTCCCCCTTTCTTTCCCTGGCCACATTGGCCTTCTTTCAAGTCTTTAAAGTTGATGTTTTGTTCCTGATCTCAAGGACCTTGTCATAGACTATTTCCTTTGCCTTCTCACCCCACCCCATCTAAACCAGCCAGTTTAAAACCCTGTTATTCCACCTCATGTCACCTTTCACTTTACATTCCTAGCGCAACTTACAGTTTTATTTCATTCATTTTTTGACGTCTTTCCTGCCTTCTCAACTATTCAACTCATGAGGGCGGAGCCAGCAAGTCGCCTGCAAGTCTTAACTCTGCTTGTTTGCTCTCAGGCAGAGGAGGATGAGCATATGAGGAGGATTGGGAAAAATGCTCAGAGAGGGAGGGGGCAATCAGGCTTTATTATCAAGAAGCAGGAGAGGAGAGAGTCTTCCATCAAACAGTGTCAGATGCCTCAGAGATAAGGAAAGGATGGAACAGTGCACCTGAATTTCATATCAAGGAGGGTGTTAGTGGGAAATGCAGGAAGGTTGTAGAACGGTGGAGGTGCATGCTGGGGTGCAGCAGGTTGAGGAATGCATGGGGCATATGAAAAGGAGGAGACAGAATTCTTATGGAGCTTGGCTGGGATGGAAAAGACGAAGGGAACAGTCACAGTGGACAAGGATATAGGATTATAGGACGGTTTTGTAGCAGGTGAAAGGTAAATACATTTTCTAAGCCAAGGAGGAAAAAGATAGTTGAAAGAGATTGAGAATAGTAGAAAGAATGGGGGAAAAACTAGGATCAAGTCAAGATCACTAGTGAAGAAATACAACTTAGAAAGATGTAGAGATATACACTTTTCCCTTGGAGCCTAGAGGGAAAGAGGCAAGGGTGATTTTAAGTGGAGACATTTCTAGATGCAGGGTGGGAAGCTGGAGGACTGTAAGCTGTGAGTTTCTTGATGTAGAGGGCAAGGTGTCTGCTGGAAGGACTAGATGTGAAAGCTCAAAGTGACAAGGTTTGGAATGGTGTGTGGTGGAAGGGAAGAGCAACCACTGAAAGGCAGCTGAGCAGTGCTGAGGGTTGGCCTCAGCTGGCCACCAAAAATCTGAGTGATGCCAGTGCATGTAGTTCTGGCATTCTTTCCCTCTCCCAGCAGTGCCCAGCAATCCAGGTAAAGGCCCATAGAATGTGGGTTACTACCCTCGTCCCAGGTTGAGGTATAAGGCAACGGGATTTGGGTCTCGAGAGTGCTGGCAAGCATGGTTGAAGCAATGGACCTGGAGCCTGCACTAAATGGGTAGGGCTGTGTGGCCAAGAGGTTAGCTAAGGAAGAAGAAAGAGTCCTGTGTGTGAGGATCCTAATGAGGTTGGGGGAACAAAAGCAAGACCGGTGACCTGGCATCCTTAAGCATGAGGAATTTGGAGCCATAAGAGATGGTGGCATTGGTACATTAGTGTCTACAATGAAGGACATGGTCCAGGATGTGGCCATGGAAAGTGAAATGTAGTGGAAGTGAGGATGACTCGAGTGCAGAAAGTCAGAAGGGCTTTGGGCCTATGGTATTGAATGATCTGGAGCAGCTGGGAAGTCCCCAGATGATGGCAACAAGTAGGGAAAAGGACAGAATAGGCCAATGGCATGAACCTCAAAGGAAGATAAGGTTTGCAGATCGGAGGCCGCTTGACCATCTAGAATTTGCAAAGGGGAACAAGAATAATCCATGCACCACTTTCAGGAGACACAGAGTGAGGGGACCAGGCTGGTTCCACTGGAGTGAAATATATAGAAGATTATATTACAAGTTCGGCTAAAGATGGAAATGGTCAAGGGCTTGGGAGGGAGACTCAGAGAGAAATAAAGAGAAGGAAGGTCTGTATTCACAGTACCTGGGTCCTAAACAGGAGAGTATACTGGAATCATCTTGAGGGCCAGTCATTATCCTGGAGCCTCTGATTTAGTGGGTCTGAGATGGGGCTTGAGAAACTGAATTTCTAGCAAGTTCCCAGGTGAGGCTGATGCCATAGGTCCTGGGAGCACATGCTGAGAGCCACTGTTCTGAGGCATGGACATTAACTGGAGAAGCTTGAAACTGCCTGGAGATGGGGGGATAGATTAACTGGAAATCTTTCAGTGTAGAGACTTTGTTGAACCATGCATTATCATACTCGTTTTAGAATTGCATCTCTGAAAAACAAACATAAAAAGGAAACAGCAATTCTACTCGAACCTGAGTGGGCCAGAAAGAAAGAGACTATGGGGACTGCTCTGTCTACTGGCTTTAAGGTTTTAGGTATTAAAAACTGTAGCAGAAGACCAAATGATAGAGAATTTAATGGAAAGGGAAGAGAATAGACTTTCCCACCAAAGCATGGAAAGATAAAATAAAATAGCTTACCTGTGTGGAGATTGTCTGTTAGGTTTCTCTCGAAGTTTAACTTCTCTTCCTACAACAACAAAAAAGTTGAACATTGAGATCTGTGGGTTGCCTCCTTTTTACAGCCAGATAGTATTGTGAGTGTGACTGAAGGAAGCGTTTCCTAAAGGGCACTGGGCAGTAATGTGGGGAAGGAGTTCCTGGCTTGGAACAGTTTGCCCAGGAAGGCAAGGGGTTTCACATTTATCAGGCTGGGGTTTGCAGCCCAGCTCCTGACACTCAGCAATCAACTCACAGTTAACCACAATTTCAGTATGTAAAATAATATTACAGTGAGATTTAAATGGAACATCATATAAACTGTTGATCACACACTAGAAATGTTGGAGTTGTCCAATAACCGAAAGCCACCTACTATGGACTGAATGTCTGTGTCCCTGCAAATTCATATGTTGAAATCAATCCCCAGTGTGATGGTATTAGGAGGCGCCGCCCTCTGGGGATAATATTAGTGCCATTATAAAAGAGATCCCAGAGAGCTGCCTTGCCCTTTCTGCCTTATGAAGTTATAGCGAAAGATGGTTGTCTATGAAGAAGGTCCTCACCAGATGCCAAATCGGCTGGCACCTTGATCTTGAACTTTCCAGCTTCCCCAACTCTGAGAAATTTCTGTTGTTTATAAACCACCCACTTTCTGGTATTTTCTTAAAGCAGTCTGAATGAACTAAAACATTCTAGTTGTTATTACTGTTGATAAACATTACATGACAATGTGCCTCTTCTCTGATGGACAAAGTTTTGACTAAGTGAAAAATCCCACAAAAAACAAAACAACAACAAAAACAAGCAAAGTTTAACGAATAAATGTGTGGTATTTCAATAAAATACACGATTTAGAAAACATCTTTGTTTATGATGTATAGAACTTAAGAAAGTAAAACAAGGGTTCAGATTTTTATCCAATTCTCTGTGATTATTAGAATAATTTACTACATATGGACACATCATTTTCAAGAAAGGCTCTTATTCCACTCCCAAGTAGACTATATATCGAGATAATGAGCTCTGTCTTATGATATTGGAATGGTTTTACATCCTTTCAGTGATTTAATTTTATATTCTTGTTAGCAAAATCTTTTCACTTGGTTATTATTTTTTAAAATTGTTCAATAACTCCTTAAGAGCTAATACATTGCTCAAATGTCACACAATTATTCTATTATTCTTATTTTTTATCATAGCACTCACAATTCAATTTAAATATTACTTGATAAGGAAGACAGGAGAAAGGCAAGTTCATGCCTGCAGGGAGATAACCCTGTAGCAGGGGAGAGCAAGGAGGTGAGAAGAGCTTACAACCAACTACAATATCATTCAGGGTACAAACAATGCCATCAAAAGGACATCAACAAAATCCTGAGGCCACTCAGATAGGGAAGAGAGTGTAACTGGGCGGTTTCAAGAAGCTGACAGCACCTGAGCCAGGCACTGAAACAGACAGGAATCATATCGGATGAAAAACTAATAAAGGGGCTGGGTGTGGTGGCTCACACCTATAATCCCAGCACATAGCGGGGCTGAGGCAGGCGGATCGCCTGAGGTCAGGAGTTCGAGACCAGCCTGGCCAAAATGGTAAAACCCCGTCTCTACTAAAAATACAACAAATTAACCTGGCATGGTGGCGGACGCCTATAATCCCGGCTACAGAGGAGGCTGAGGCAGGAGAATCGCTTGAACCCCGGGGACAGAGGTAGCAGTGAGCCGAGATGGCGCCACTGCACTCTAGCCTGGGCAACAAGAGTAAAACTCTGTCTCAAAACAAAAACAAAAACAAAAACATAAAAAAAGAGAAAAGAAAAAAGAAAAATAGTGACCAGGTGTGTCGGGAGGGTCTTTTAGGCAAGGGGAATGTGACAGAGATGAGGCAGAAAGAATGGAGTATCATTTAGTCAACAAAGAATTTTGAACTCCTACTGTGTGACAAGCCCTATGCTATGTACAGGAAACTGCAGGCTTTAGGTAACAAAAACTGTAGTGAAAGACTGTTAGAAAATTTAATGAAACGTGGAAAGAATAGGGTGGGATGCCAGGTGGTGTGTCCTACAGAATGACAGCCTGATGGGAACAGTAAATATTCTGGATTGCTTGATGTTTAAGGAGGAGACTCAGGGGGAACAAGAATTTCCATGGAGTATTAGGAGTCACTCCAGGGAGTGAGATGTGAAGAGGGAAGAAGGCAGAACCACAGGATTTGAACATCTACATCTATGGGCTGAAGGGTTCTCGGTGAAAGAAACAGACAAGCAGCAGTAGAAAAGGTTTGAGGTACAAGGCTCTACAGTGCCTCAGCTGAAGAGAACAGCTACCAGCCCAACAACATCAAATGCTGTGCAGAGAATCGAGACCATTTTAAAAACTGGATCTTTATCTTGACTTTGATTATACTGTATTCCCTGTAGAACAAATCCAAAATCTACCTCTCGAGCCACACCCGTTGTCTCCTAAGCACCAGATCCATATTTTCCATGTGGGTGATGCAGCATTTCTGAAGAGAAGACCTTAGCAGTCAGTTCCTCCACAACCATTTTTGGAAAGATAAAGAAACCAGAGGGCATGAATCTTAGTGACATACCCAGGGCCATGCAAGGAATCGGTGGGGAGGAGTCAGGACTTGTTTCCTGGCCTCCTGTCTCAGAGTGTCCTCTATGAATTGAAAACATCACATAATTCTTGTTTTTGTTTTGAACAAAGTACCCAGCTGTCTGTTAGAAGCTACTCTCAGATGTCTTCACATTTAGTGAGCTGTTACTGAGTGCCTAAGGTGTACCATGTGGAGTGCTAAGCACTGAGAGTACAAAAGGGGAATAGAACACCTTACCATGCAGCTGACTAGGTGGTTGGTAGACAGATCAAAACCAGTGGTAAGTGCTTCCTAGGATACCAACTGGATGTGGCAATTTGGAGTTACAGGTGAGAATCTACTTAGAGTGAGGGTTGGACCCGTTGAGAGGGTAGCATTTAAACTGGAATCTAAAACATGAGATGGAGCCAGCTATGCAATGGAAAGCTCTCATTAAACCACTGCATTGTTAAAAAACCTTAAGTGGTTCTGTATTTCCTACCAAATCTTAAATATCCTCAGCTATGCATTCAAGACCTTCTACAATACGACATCCATGGCCTTCCTAGTGTATCTGGGTAACTCCTCTAGCTACTTTCCATTTCCAGCCAAACTAGACTTTTCATTATTCTTTAATGCCAATGCTTCTGTGTGTTTGCACATATTATTTCCCCCAGTTGACATACCTCCTTATCAATCAATACTTTGCAAAATTCTATTTATCCTTCAAAACTCATTTCACACACTACTTTCTCCAGGAAGACTTAAAAAAATTCCAAAGTAAACATAATTACTCTATTTAAAATATTTCTAGGCCTGGCATGGTGGCTCATGCCTGTAATCCCAGCACTTTGGCCGAGGTGGGTGGATCACCTGAGGTCAGAAGTTCGAGACCAGCCTGAGCAACATGGTGAAACCTTGTCTCTACTAAAAGTACAAAAATTAGCTGGGCGTGGTGGCACATGCTTGTAGTCCCAGCTACTTGGGAGACTGAGGAGGAGAATCACTTGAACTGGGAGGCGGAGTTTGCAGTGAGCTAAGACTGCATCACTGCACTCCAGCTTGGGTGACAGTGAGACTCCGTCTCTAAATAAATAAATATATATTTCTAAAGGATCTTTAAACTCTTTGTATTAGTCCATTTTCATACTGCTATCAATAAATTCTGAGACTGGGTAATTTATAAAGAAAAGGTGGTTTAATGGACTCACCGTTCCACATGGCTGGGGAGGCCTCACAATCATGGCGGATGGTGAAGCAGAAGCAAAGGCACATCTTACATGTCAGGAGGCAGGGCAGTGTGTGCAGGGGAATTGCCCTTTACAAAAACATCAGATCTCATGAGATTTATTTGCCATCATGAGAATACCATGGGAAAAACCCACTCCTATGATTCAATTACCTCCCACTGGGTCCCTCCCACAACACGTGGGGATTATGATAACTACAATTCAAGATGAGATTTGGGTGGGGACACAACCAAACTATATCACTCTACCAAGGTGGACAGCTCTGATCACTTTCCGCCGTGGATTATAGTATGTAATTCATTTCTACAATGTTCCCTCTATCAGACTATAAACCCTCAGGAGAGAAGGCCATGGTTTCATCAATGTTTATCTGCACATTGTGTCTCCTGGCACAGTGACTTGCATATAGGTGGTACCTTGCATGTTTTTTAAAAATTTGACTTAAAAATATCATTGGCAATTTAAAGATGCCTAATACCAATGTATAATATTATAACACAACAATGCTCATATTTTAATGATTCTAAGATGTACATGTATTCATTTACCTTTTAACATATCTGGAATTGGAATGTACCTCACAATCATTGGCATATCATGGTTACATTGGCAGCATTTTCTATCTTTATGTTATATAAGATAATGGTACATGTTACAGTTGATGGCATCTAATATTTAATGAAATGTGGCATTTAATTCTATATTTATTTCAGCAATATATTATGCAAACATTTCACAAACAATACCCTATATTGAACAAGTATCTACTTTGTGCACAGTTATACAAAGAAGTCCTTCTAAGATGAAACTAACAATATCCAGGGATAAAGTAAGAATTTTATGAGCTCCAAGAACTATAAAGATCAGGTGTTGAAATAACAATAGCCATGAAATAAGATGCATCAAAGAAGTTCTAATTTTTCCCAGAATGATTTTTTGAAATAATAAATCTTTTCAAAAATAAATATTTTTTGGTATATTGCTGGTGCCTGGAAAATATGTGTTTCCATACATAGAAACAAGTATAAATAACTCATTTGATGGGCTAGCTAGCACTGGCATGACACTGGCTTGTACATGGGGAAGACCTGACGCCTGGTACAGTCAATCAGCACTAAGCATTGTGGGAGTTTGGGAGAAGAAGGAATCCCACTGCAACAAAGCTGCCAGGAAAGGCTTTATAGAAAAATGAGGCCATGA